AAAAAAAAAAAAAAAAAAAAAAAGAGACACCTGAGCCAGCAAACTGCCCAGCGTGGCCTTCTGGGGATAAATGTGGCACTGCTGCAGCTGCGGGCTCAAGCATCTGGGAGATCGCAAGTGGCCAAAGATGGTGGCATAGGTATGAAAGGGCACGAAAGATGACACAGAAAGGCCACCGGGAGCAGGCCTGACTTGTGTTAACATTTTCTTAGGTCCTGTCCTGTCCCTAGGACGATGCGAGAAGGGCCAGGGCAGGCAGGACAGCAGACTCCTCACTCCCAGCCAGCATGGCCACCTGGTGACTAGGACACTCAGGCCAAGTAGCAGGATACTGAGACTGGATTAATGACTACACTTCAGGTCACTCCAGTCAAAACAACTAAGATCACCATAGAAATCATGTTAATCTGCTTGAGCATATGGCCAGACATTCAAGCGAACTACCCAAATTTGTCTAAATTATACCTGAGTGATAAAGATTACACTGATCAAAATGAAATCATATTTATATAATAAGCACTGGGATGATGGCAGAAATGTCAGCATCCAAGACGAGCTGGATCTCAGCAGCAAACAACCAAAGGTGACCCTACATTATGCCAGGATGAGCATTAAAGATAATACAAGAGATTAAAAGAAATATATTACATGAGCTGGGCACAATGGCTCACGCCTGTAATCCCAGCACTTGGGAGGCTGAGGCAGGAGGATCACTGTGAGTTTGAGGCCAGCCTGGGCTACACAGCAAGCTGAAGGCAGCCTGAACTACACAGTGAGACCCTGTCTCAAAAAAAAAAAAAAAAAAAGGAAAATATTACAGCTTGTGTGCTCTCTTGCTCCATTTCAATTTGGCCAAAAAAGACCACCAACATTCTTCTAAATCTCTGTTAGCTCCAACTTTTCTTTCTTTTTTTTTTTTTTGGTACCAGCAATCGAACTCAGGACCTTGTGCTTGCCAGGCAGGCACTTGTGCCACTGAGCTATATCCCTAGCCCTAAATCTCTGTTGTCAACCCTTAAAATAAACGCACTAGTGTACACATGGTACTGAACTTGCAAGCGTAATGAGCTTTGCCTCCAACAGTAGAGTTACTTAAATTGTTCTTCACCCATTAACTAGTATCTGTTAACTAGTGTCTGTACTCTGAAAGCTGGTCTTTCCACCTTTAATCACATAATGTGTCAATCATAATGCGTATCACCTCTCACTTTGGAGTTTTGCATAGCAGTTCTCAAATCAGTAATATAAATACTGTAACTCACCTGAGTTAGACATTAGAAAAGCTTTTCTGAGCAAGTGAACAATTTAAGACACCATTTTTAACGCTGTATATATGGGAAAATACGTTATCAGGTCTGAGTAACTGACTAAATCGTTAGAACACAACTAGGCTGGAGACTGTGCTCCTCCCTGGACGACCATGGTTACGTTTCCTTTCAATGCATCACATCAAAACAGCTCTAGTCATTCTCACATCTTACATACAAGCTGAAGCCTCAAGAACCACTGTTTTCTGTTGAAGAATTAAGCAAAACAATGAAAATTAAAACACAATTCTTACCTCTCCATGGTTCTCAAAAAATTCATTTTTATGTCGATGCAATGTGTCAATAGCCCTAGTTAAGATCTGCGGTGTTCTGTCTTTAATTGTAAGATACGCAAATGATCTAGAAAACAGAGTTACACACAATATATTACTTAGTAGTTTGAACCTTAGATAGGCCTACAACTCTTCATGAAACAATGGAAAAGTTAGACCAGTTTTTTCTACTATATTAAGACTCTAAAATATTTTGCACACTCTGCTGTGTCTTGGAAGTGAAGTAGTGTTGGTGCCTCTAATCCCAGGAGTCTATTAAATCATTCTTTATCTTTTCCATTTTACTCCCTTTTCTTTTCCTAAATCAGAAACTAGTTCAACAACATGATAGGCTAGAACAAGGATTAGGCTCAAAATCAAGCTGGCTCTGGTCCCAGCCCTACTATTCACTTCATTGGCTCACAAACACGGAGACAATGGCAGTAAAACTGCTCTAAAATCTGTCCTTATGTCCAGGAACCAACTCTCCATGATGAATGTAACCATGTACTGCAAATGTGTACTGATAAAAGAACCAAAATAAAAGCTCTACTAATGTGCCTAAAGAACATAAAAGACTTTAAAATATTTATGAAATGTTTTTCTCTGTCTTCTCTGACTGTATTCTTAATCAATCTTAACTCTTTTCAAAGATTTTCCTCACTTCTATCTCTACTTGCCTTCTTACCCCATTCTGTCCATAAAAAAATTAACCTACTATCACACTCTCTCAGCTAAAAATTAGAGATTTTTCAGAAACGTTAGCCAGGCATGGTGAAGCACACCTGTAATCTCAGCACTTGGGAGGCTGAGGCAGGAGGACTACTGCAAATTAAAGACCATCCTGGGCTATACAATGACGTCAAGGCCAGATAACTACATAGCAACACCCAGTCTCAAAAAACTAAAAAACAAAACAAAACAAACAAAAACCCAAGGATATGTAAATAAAGCAAGCTAGAGGTGAGAAAAGAAAAACTTACATTTGCATTAAAAATTTTTAAGATATTCATTTTAGACATATAAAAATCTAGAGATGATCATTTGCATCGTAAGATTTTTTTAAATAAATACATGCAATTGTTAGGAAAAAAAACCAACAGGATTTATTAGATTGTGAAATTCCAGGCAGCTTTTTGCTCTTTAATTTATTTTTTTAATCAGTACATAAATATGGGGGCTGGGGATTTAGCTCAAAGGCACAGCGTCTGCCTGGCAAGCACAAGGTCGTGAGTTTGGTTCCCGGTACCGGAAAACAACAACAACAACAACAAAAAATACATAAATGTTTAAAGCAGAATATAGAGCTTAACTGATCTGTGCTTGTATCTGCAGATCACCAGAGACAAAGTAAAACCAAAAGAACTTCACGTGATAGTTTTAAAAAGAATGTCTCTGCCACTCTAATTTGGGATCGTTACACTTCCAAAACTCATTATAGTTTTTTAACGACTGGGCTGTATATTGAGTATTTCTCCAAAATGAGTCCTTGAACGATAACTATAAAACTTTAAGAAAACAAACTGCGAAAGCACATTTGGACTCTGTGATGCTTTGACTATCCTAACAGTGATTAAGTTTTAATATGCCTAGTAATTTTCAAAATTCACTATCAATACTTTGAGAGAAGGGACATTAACCGGAACCAAGTCACAGCTGAATTTTCTAAGGTACCAGACACAAAAAGAAGTGACACTCCTTCCTTGCGATTTTACTTTAATTGGCAAGTATTACTATTTTTCCACCTCCTTCCTGGATCAGATCCCTTCACCCAGAGCATAAGGTCCTGGCCAGGGAGGGATACGGTAAGGTCGGAGGCTTCTAGGTCACTCTCTAATTTATAGGATCCTGCGGGACTATGCCAGTTTAAATTCCGGAAGACCAAAACCTCTCAGATCTCAATCTACTTCCTGCCCAAATAGGGTGACTTTTTCCTAAGTGTTTTGTGCAATATTTTGAAGAACCTACTGCAGTTAGCAACTTGGCTATTCAGTTTACGCAAATGGATGTTATATTATTTTACCATCATCCATAACTTTGCCTAAAAAAATCAAAACCCACCCTATTCCTTCCCCTTTTATCCAGTTTCCTTTTCCAAGTGCAGTCAACTAGTCAAAACTATTTCAAATGGAAATCAAGAAATTGATTGATTTTTAAATAATTTATAATAAACTTGTAATTGCTCTTTTTCTTATTAGTGATTTTTACCACTCTCACTGTGCCTAACTCAGAAATTAAACACCATAGATATGTATCGGGGGAAAAACAAACTAAATATTCGGTTCGAGTTCAAGCATCTACGGGGATCTTACAAAGACAACGGGGGACCTACTTGTAGAGGCGTTTTTTCTTGTGAGATTACGGTCAGCGTCATTTCACACTGGGAATATGAAATCCCAATAGACCTGAGACGCCCAAATGTTCCAAACTTTTGTCCGCCCCTCCACAAGCTCGTTTATTAATATGCATAACTAATGGACCGCCAGGCAGAGGCTGCAGAGCCGACCCAAGTCCTAAGGCTGCGCGCAGCCCGGCACGCAGCCTCCTGCCCCGGACTCCGGGCGCCGCCACGCGAGCCGGCGAAGCCGAGCAGGCGCCGCGCGCACGCCGAGTCCCGCGGCGGGACATGAACTCGGAGCCTCTGGGGAGCGGGCGACCTCCGCTCGTCACCCTCAGCTTCCCAGCCGGGCCTTGCTTTCCGGAAAAATGGGCAGGAGAAAAGCGAGACGAACCCTACGTCCTTTGCGGAGAGAAACGAAGGCAGCTCCGCCATCCCGTCCGGAATTAACGGCCCCAACGATCGAGTCTGCAGGGTCACAGATTAACCGCAGCGTCGCCGCGAAGGAGGAGCTAGGAGCCGAGTGACGTAGCTTTAAAAAAAGTGCTTTTGAATAAAGAAACTTTATTTGTAGCGGAGCAAGTGCAAACGGTGGCTGGCTCCAGACGACGAGCTCTTCCGGGAACGGAGGCGGGGACAGCGGAGGGCGACGAGAGGAGCGGAATCAGGAAGCGAACGGAAGGCGGAAGCAGGCAAGGACCGGGAGGTCCCAGGGCTTGGGGAGCGGAAGAGGGCGCGGCTCTGGGTCACGTGGCAGGGCGGTCACGTGGGCCCACGGCTTCGGCGGACGGCCAAGAGTTCTATGCGCCTGCGCAGTTCCGGGGCTGGGCTTGCACGCCTTTACCCGAGAGACTTTGGTTCCACTAGCTGTGGGCTCCGGCGACAGTCCCGGTCCCTACAGTCCCACGGCGGACGCTGGCACCTTTGGCGCTTCCATCCTTTTCTCCTGCGGAGAGGTTAGTGCACTACCTTCTATAGCGCTTGTGTGGCCCAAAACAAAGCTGTCTCCCCTGGCGCCCGAAACCTCTCGGGTCACCCACAGATTTCCTCAGTACCGCTGAGACCCGACTCCCCAGGCAGTGGGTGATCTCTGATCGACTTAGCTGGAAGTGAATATCATTCAGTCAGCACACACTCATTGACCCCGTTTTTCAGCTAAAACGTAGTGGTAGCAGCAGAAATGAATAAGATTACTTCTAGCGTAAGGAATTGTAGGCATGCTCCCAAAGATTACCTTAGCGTCTCTTACGTCATAGTTTCGCTGTAACCATTTTCTTAATTGATCTTTTTACACTTACATAGTAGAAATGTGCCCAGGACTGAGTAGCTGCCTTGTTTCATTTTTTGGAACTCATTTTATTGGGACATTTCAGAAATACATAATGATAACATTTATCTTACGGAATTTGTACCTGTACATGATATATCTTGATCCTTCTTTTTTCCCATTGCCCTCCCCTCCCTTCAACCCCTCTTCCCCTCCTTATTTACAAAAGCTTTATTTTCACTTTTACCTTCTTTTCTTTCCCTTATGTTGTTTTCCCCTCCCCCCTCCCATGTTCCCCTTCTCATTTGAACATTTTCCCATTTCTCAATATCCTTTATGCACTTTGATCTCTATGTACACTTTCGATTTTTTCACAACAGAGAAACAATGCGATATTTAAACGTGTCTGATTTATTTCATTTAAGAGAATGATCTCATTTAAGAAAATGCACCCATTTTCCTAGAAATGTCTCAAGTTTATCTTTCTTTATAGCAGAGTAGTACTCCATTCTATAAAAATACCACATCTTCTTTAACCATACGTCGGTTAGTAAACATTTAGGCTATTTCCAAGATTTAGCTATTACAAACTGCTGCTGTAAACGCAGGTGTGCATATATCGCTGTGGTGTGATGCTTTTACTTCTTTCAGGAAGATACCTAGAAGGGGAAATGCCACATCAAATGGAACATCTAGTCTTAGTTTTTTGAGGAATCTCCACACTGATTTCCACAGTGGTTGCACCAGTCTACACTCCCACCAGCAGTGGAGAAGGGTTCCTTTTTCTCCACAGCCTCACCACTACTTGGTATTGGTTGATTTCTTGATAGTAGCCATTCTTTCTGGGGTGAGATGAAATCTTAGTGTTGTTTTAATTTGCATCTCTGGAATGACCAGTGATGTTGAACATTTTTCGTATATTTGTTGTTCTATTTCTTCATCAGAGGAGTGCCTATTCATTTTAGATGCCAATTTTTGTATTGGGTCTTTAAATTGGGGGAGTCTGATTTTTTTCAAGTTCTTTGTATATCCTAGATGTTAGCTGTTTGTCTAAGGAATAGCTGGCAGAATTTTTTTCCCATCCTGGGTTGTCTCTTTGATGTGCAAAAGCTTTTTAATAAGATGAGATCCCAGTTGTTGATTCTTCATGATATTTCCTGTGAGACTGGAGTTTTGTTCATTAAGTCATTGCCTACGTTTGGATCTTTGATCCATTTTTATTTTAATTTAATGTGTGGTGAGAGATATAGGTTTTCATCATGTGGAAAGGCACTTTTTCCAGCACCATTTAAAAAGAGGCTATCTTTCTTCCAGTGAAGGTGCTTGGCCCCTTTGTCAAGGACAATGGGGCTGAGTGCATTTGGAGTTGTTTTGTATCTTCTAATCTGTTCTGTTGATCCTCAGGTCTGTTTTTTGCTGGTACCATGCTGCTTTTTATCATGGTATCTGTGTTAGTTACTTTTCTCGTTGCCGAAACAAAATACCCAACACCCAAAGTTAAAGAGGAAAGATTTGTTTAGCTCAGTTTGTAGAGGCTTCAGTCCATAAACAACTGGCTCCAAGACAGGGTGGAACCTGGCAAAAGGGCAGCAGTTCCTGGAGGTGGAAGATAGCAAAAGCACCAAGAGAGGGAAGACAAACCTCTTTCTGTCCCTTATATTGTAGGCAGGCTACCTGCCCTAGGGTGAGTATAGCACTCACACCCTTACCCTAACTACAGCTAAACCAAACCAATCATTGGGCTGATTTACTAATCACACATCGTTAAGCCCAGCATCACACACATCTGGATTCAGCCATCTCTGAAAGAGCCCCATCTAACACTGCATGAGGCTTTGGGGGAACAGCTAGACACAATGCATAACAGTTTTGTAGTATAATTTCAAGTCAGGAGCCAGGTGTGGCTCATACCTGTAATCCCAGCACTTGGGAAGCTGAGGCAGGAGGAACACAGCAAGTTTGAGGCCAGCCTGGCCTACAAAGTTAGTTCAAGGCTAGCCTGAACTGCATAGCAAAACCTTGCCTCAAAAAAACCCTGTCTCAAAAAAAAGACAATAATAATACGTCAGGAACTGTGATGTCCCCTGGCTTGCCTTTGTTGCCCAGAATTGCTTTTGCTAATCTAGGTCTCCTCTGGTTCCAAATAAATTTTAGGATTGTTTTCTGTAATTGTATAAGGTAAACTGTTGGTATTTGATTGGGATCGCATAATTAAATACGCATAGTAATTTGGAAGTATGACCATTTTCACTATATTGATTCTTCCTACACAAAAACAAGGAATGTCTTTCCATTTTCTGATATCATCTTCAATCTCTTTTCAGAATACTGTATTTTTCATTACAAGAGCCTTTTACTTCCTTTGTTAGATTGATTCCTAAGTATTTCACTTTTTCCGATGCTATTGTGAGGAGGTAGTTTGCCTAATTTCTTTCTCAGTGAGTTTGTGTACAAGAATGCTATTGATTTTTGAGTGCTGACTTTATGTCCAGCTACACTACTGAATTTGATTATTAAGTCTAGAATTCTATTGGTGGAGTTTTATGGGGCTTCTATGCAACATATCATGTCATCTGCAAATAATAATTTAACCTCTTCCTTTCCTATCTTATTCCTTTTATTTCTTTCTCTTGTGTAACTGCATTGGCTAATGTTTCCAGAACTATATTGAATAGGAATGTGATAGTGGACATCCTTGTCTTGTTCCTGATTTTAAAGTGAAAGCTTTCAGTTTTTGACCATGTAGTATAATGTTGGCTGTTGGTTTTTCATAGATGGGTTTTATCAGGCTTCGATAAAGACCTTCTATTCCAAGTTTCTGAAGGGTTTTTATCATGTCAGATGCTGTTTCTGCATGTATTGAAATGATTGTGTGGTTTTTGTCTTTGGTTCTGTTAATGTGCAGTATTACACTTATTGATTTACATACGTTGAAGCATCCCTGCATCCCTGAGATGAATCCTTACTGGTCATGATGCATAATCTTCTTGATGACTTGCTGCATTCTGCTTACCAGTGTCTTGAGGATTTTTGCATCTATCATCATTAGGGAGGTTGGCCTATAGCTCTCTTTTTGATTGGATCTTTCCCTGGTTTTGATCTCAGGGTAATGTTTGCTTCCCTTTTTAATTTCATTACAGTTTGAGGAGTAATGGCATCATATTTTCTCTACATTTCTTGTAGAATTCAGCAGTGAATCTGTCATGACATGGGCTTCTCTTTATTGTTAGGTTTTTAATCATATCTTCAATTTCATTGATTGATACTGGCTTATTTAGAATTTTCCTATCTTCTTGATTCAGCTTTGGTAATTCATATGTATTTAGGAATAAGTCCATTTCTTCTCTGTTCTCCACCTTATTTGAATATAGGTTCTCAAAGTAGGTATTGGTGATCTTCTGGATTTCTGGGATTTTTTGTTTTTGTTTTTGTTTTTGTTTTCCGGTACCAGGAATTGAACTCACAACCTTGCAACTTGCCAGGCAGGCGCTGTACCACTGAGCTAAATCCCCAGACCCGATCTTCTGGATTTCTGATGATCTGTTGTGATTTCACCCATTTCATTCCTAATTGTGTGGATTCTTTCCTTTTTTGGATAAAGGGTTTGTCAAATTTATTTAGTCTTTCCAAGAACCAACTCTTCAATTCATTGATCATTTTCATTGTTTTCCTAGTCTCAGGTGCATTAATTTCTGCTCTGACTTTTATAATTTCCTTCCTCATACAAGGTTTGGGCTTAACTTGTTCTTCTTTTTCTAGAAGCTTGAGTTTCAATATTAAGTTATTTATTTCAGTTCACTCTGTTTTCCTGATGTGAGAATTCACCGCTACAAATTTTCCCTATAAGACTGCTTTCATTGAGTCCCTTAAGTTGTGGTGTGTTGTTTTGGCATTATCGTTTAATTGTAGAAACTGTCTAATAATATTTATGGGATAATTTCAGCTCCTTTGCATGTTCTTTGAGCTAGTATGTGATCTGTTTTGAAGAACATGTCATGCATAGCTGAGAAGAATGCATATTCTCCGGTGGGGTGGAACACTTTGTAGACATCTACTAAGTCCATTTGTTCATAGGTTTGGTTCAGTTCTGATATTTCTTTGTTGATTTTTTTTTTTTTTTTTTTGGTCTAGTTGATCTATCTTGTTTGTGACAGTGGGGTATTGAGATTCCATTACAATTTTATTAGCGCTTAAATTTTCATGTCCATTAGTATTTGTTTTATATAGTTTGGTGCACCAGTATTTGGTACAAATATATTTATGATTGTTACCTCTTCCTCTTAGAGTATTCCCTTAACAAGGATCTAGTGACCTTCTTTGTCTCTCTTGATCAGTCCTGGCTTGAAATCCACTCTCTGCAAATGGAAGAGCTGCTCCAGCTTTTGTCCAGGTTGCTGTCGCATGAAGTTTTCAGCTCACTGTGTTTTCCATCTTTCGACTTTCAGTCTATGGATTTCTTTTGAGTTAAATGTGTTTCTTGTATACAGCATATTGTTGGATCTTATTTCTTGATTCATTCTGCCAGTCTATTTCTTTTGATTGGTGAATTGATACCATTTACATTGATGGTTATAACTGATATATATTGACTTATCCTTGTTATATATACATAGATATGTATTTGTTTTGTTTTGTTTTTTGAGACAGGATCTCACTATGTAGTACAGGCTGGCCTTGATCTCACTTAGG